CAGCTTACATTTAAAAATGGAAAATAATTGAATATCACGTAATTCAGCTGGCAGAGCATTCCATAAGTACGGGGCAGTAGCAGAGAACGATCTGTCCCCCAACGTGGTCACTCTTTGGCGTCATGTTTCTTGAAGAGAGTTTACAACATTGCTAACACTAAAACTGAGAGCACTTAACGAAATACGTCATCTCATTGGTTGAGTAGAGTGTGCTAATGGCCCATAAATCTTGTTGAAGCGTGCGAAATTACTGACTTGGATCTTACATTGGCATTGGTGTATATATCTAAGGGTCGCATGAAAAGAAACTGAGAGATCTCTGCCAATCTCCTTTCAAGTGTTGCAGGTCGATTAGAAAGGTGGTAACGATGGTTACATTTTTAGCAAGACATTATAATTAATTCGAAACAAGGTCGTCGTTACAGTGACGTATTTGTTCTAAAAAGGGGTGTCAGAAGGAGTCAAAAAAGCGCAGACCACAGGAGCACAAACTTTCCGATGATTATCCCTCCTCGTCATTATTGATATGGAATTCCCGCCCCTGTACAAGGGTTTAGAAACTCCTAAAGAGATAATTCGTCATCTCAATCGACTCAAAAAGTTCTCCTTGTCCAAAAATATACATAGTATGTAACGTGCAGAAGTTTCGCACAAGGAAAAACTGTCCCCGCGATTTTGAGGTTGGGAGGGCACAACGTTTTCCTTTACAGACCGACCTTGGCCGGTAAATAATGTTTTTATATCTTTTCTGTGATGAGTTTAATCGTACTGATACAACTTAATTTGGCGCTCATAATCTTTTCATTGACTGGTACTGGTTATTAGTGATCACCTGGAGCGGGGACTGGGCCGGCGGCGGGGGAAAAGGGGGTTCAGAGGATTTTGGTCACATCACGATTAAATTTACCTGATTGCCCCCCTTCTCCCTTAAGGCTCACTAACAATTCATTGGAAGTTAATTTCATAAGTCCCCCTTTATACTCTGTTCGCGACGAAAGATCCCCCCTTCGATCCCCCTGAAAACGAGTGATTTCTAAAAAACCCCACCCAGGAGATAGCCACTGATTAGTCCTAAATTTCCATCTGTAAATGAGCTTCTTATTCGTGAAATCAACTGTGTTTTGATTGAATGGGTGCAGATATCACATGAAGTCTAAAATTGTTGGTGATTTCGCTCAAGTGTGCGGCGAAAGAAGCACAAGATTGCGCACCCTTACGGCGCCGAACGAACTTTGAAAAAATTCTTTTCAAAAACACTTCATCACTAAGGACTATATTACACTTTCGGTGTACTTAAAACTACATTTCACTACTATAGGGATAAACCACTATCCCTTTAAACACAAAATAACAGGCCTAGGTGACTCACAAATGTTGACTTTCCACCGGTAAGGAGGAGTGTCTCAAAGGAATCAACCGTTAGCCCTATAAAGGTTAAAAATTTAGCAGATGGTGTAAAAATCGACAAATTTTAACCGTTAGTCGAGTCGTAAACAAAGTTAACCGTAAAAGAAATTACTGACGACAATAATGGAAAGATATTAAACTTTAGCAGGAGCCCATAATTTTAAGCATTAGCAGTAAAAGTCGTTACATCATTGAGACCTCAAGGCGAGGTAACACCTGCGTCCAAGGAGGAAAAAAGTTAAAAAGAAATCAAAGAACACGAAATTCAATACACAGGGTTCTTGCACTTTCTCAGGAACCCAAGTCAAGGACTTTCAAGCACTTTTAAGATCATTTTCAAGGACCTTGGCTCTCAAATTCAAGGACCTTTCAGAAACACGAGCGTGCATGTAGGACCGGCCGAAAAGTCCAACGAGCGTGACTTAAGCATGCACATCTGAGTGATCACGTGCTAGGTAACCTGGTTACTTTCAATGCACCAATCAGGTACAAAATAGATAACAATTACGTGTCAAACATCACAATCAGACGCAGGATTTGAAAGGAAAACTCGTTTTCGCGATTTGTGCGAGAAACTTACACTTTCAACACCAAAAACTTAAATTCAAGGACTTTGAAGAACTTTCAAGGAGCGCAGGAACCCTGAATGCAGTTTGAATTAAACTTGAAAACTGACTCGCAGATACAAATTATGAAATATTTGTATAGGAATGAAGGAAAACATGAAATCCGGAAATAACAAGGATATGATACAGTGGACGAAATGATTGCCTTTGAAGAGCTGAAAGAGAATTCCAAATTCAAAAGACAAGAAACCAAATAACTTCTCTTTGGACACTTCCTTAAAAGGAAATGTATAAGGAAAAAATACAAACCCTTTTTTCCACACTTATGCAACGGAACACAATTTTCTAGGCTCTATAACATGAAAAAGCCACACGGGATGTTTGGAGAACACGAGGAAAGCTTCTAAATCACAAACCGAAGGTTTTTTTCTGCCAGAAATCTCACGTTTTTTCAATTGAGTTTAAGGGGCTTAACAGAGCCATCCCTGGACTCACTTCTGTAGGATCTAAGACTTGGCAGGTTACTCTGCAGCAAATGAAAGTAACAAGAAAAATCGCGCAAGATACGAGAGCCAAGGACTGATTAGCATTCTTACAAAAAGCAACTTGAAAACGATGCTCGAGTTAAAAAGAGATCTTGCTATGAATGACTTGCCAATGAGGCAAGTAGATCTTGGCAATCAAACTCGCTCGTATTGGTAGTAGGGAACTTTAGCAAAGACGACGGCGACGCCAACGAAAACTTCGTGTCGAAATCTAACTTTTCGTTTACGTAACTTTTTCGAGATTATATTCCGATGTGTTTCACTTGGAAAATGCTGGCGAAATATTCAGGGACTATATCACTACGAACGGCGTTACAGTAAGGAAAAAGAAAGAAAAATTAACCGTCATGCGCACACGTTCTCGAGAAAACCTAAAATTTGGTTATTTCACTTTGTTGTTTTGCCGAGAACGGCAAAGAAATGTACCAAAATGTTTAACGCACGACCAGGGCGATTGTTTTTGCTCATTAAGCCTATCGTTTTCTGCCGTTCTCGTTGCCGTTGCCGCTCTCGTTGCTAAAGCTCCCTATTCACTTTCCCACAGGACACTCCTACCTCTCTGACAACGCTTATATTTTCTTTTCACCCAAAAACTGACTAGTGTCCGGTGGAGATCCACCACGGCCGACGCCCTCTGCTCCCCAGCAGGATTGAAGATGGCCTAAGCTAATCTACCCAACAACTGACAGTTAATCAACTCTGAAAAGCTGCCTATTCACTCTCCCACAGGACACTCCTACCTCTCTGACAACGCTTATATTTTCTTTTCACCCAAAAACTGACTAGTGTCCAGTGGAGATCCACCACGGCCGACGCCCTCTGCTCCCCAGCAGGATTGAAGATGGCCTAAGCTAATCTACCCAACAACTGACTGTTAATCAACTCTGAAAAGCTTTAGGACACGCGTCACAGAAGTAAATCAATATGCCTCGCTTCCCATTACAGCAACAGTTTCTCTGAAATGACCCATGAATAAAAAAAACAAGAGAAAAAAATGTTTTCAAATTTTCAAACTCTTTCTTATTAACAAGTTTAAATGAGCTGTTCAGTCAATTCTGTTTGATTTTTCTGGACTAAAATAAAAAAAAGGAGAACGATTTTGTTTTCGTTCCTGTTTAATCACACTTCCGACCAACCTATGAAAATATCTTCAATTCGTTTATTGAACAGACTCGAATTCAGTCGAACGATTTTGCTCGATCAGTGTTCGATTAAAAGTTGTTCGACTAGATACGCCGTGAGTTCAGAGAAAATACGGCGCCTGTACCACCCTCTTAAAAACTTTTGAAAGGTTACAATATGTCCATTCTAAGTTCTAAAAAATCATTATCAGGTTTGAAATAATCCGTCGACGGAGACAGCAAAAGTATTTCATATTTCGAACCGAATCTGTCCAAACTGGATTTGTTACGGCGAAACTATAAAGTTGAACTGAATATGTTTTGAAAGGAAGTCGTTCAGGGTATATCAGAGCATATAACTTTGTTATTATGTAAGAGGAGACTTGGAACAAGTCTAAACTAACATAACCATTCATATATGTGCACGATCCTTCGCAGTAAAGCACTATTTAAGCATTAGTGAAAAAATAGTGCTTTACTGCGAAGGAACGTGCACATATACGTTTCATAACCGCAGTTCATATATATGTATTTCATGTTTGTTGTTTGATAACCATTCATGTTCTCATGACTGATCGATAAATCTAGAACGAGTAACCTAGTAGTTTGAAGCTATCACCGGCAGTTTAAATACTTCAGTTCAGATCCAACGTCGGAAGTCACGCCACCAAATGATGCAGTGTTTGATGTTGATCAAGTATTTTGGATTAAAGTATGTTTACGTTTATCGATAGTCAACCAACTTGCCACGGCAATGAAACGCTACACGAAGCTTTATCTTAATTGTGTCAAACTAACTGCCTCGAGAAAAGTTTTCTAGATTGATGAAGATGGGGTTTAGGTTCACTAACCAGGAACAAATGCCAGCGGCCGGCTCGATCGAAAATGCATCGCACAGGTGTCTCAAGACATTAATGTCCCCGAT